AAAACTTATTTTAGACTTATCAATAGCACTGTATATGTCTAATATTATTTTCAAATGATTGATATATGTATGTAACACCACAAAGACCAACCATTATGGATACATGTATGTATGTAACACCAGGAACTACAACATCCATAATTTGTTAGTCTTTAAAAAATGTATAAATCAATTAACATAGTTACATATATCTAGAACTCCATTTGAATAGGGAACATTTAAAGGTGCTTTGCAATTGTAGATGTGAATCTATAATAAAATAGGTTTTAATAGGGCCTTTTAAATTGAGTTTTGATCGTAGCCATACATATCTAGGGATAATTGATTTAAATTTCCCGAATTTGTACATTTTCGATGTTACACTCTTTATCTGTTTAGTAAACTCAACGACCTGGAGAAGATTGAATCATCGTTGCTTGCGCTGCTTAAGGAAGCCACTGTGCCGGCCCACATCTGGCTAAAATACCTCAAGGCCCGGCTGGTGGTGACCCAAACGCCCGACGAGCGCAAGGCCTTCGAGGAGAAGTGCTCAAAAGCATTGAGCTACTACTACAGTAAGTTAAAAGCCATTTAATAAAGTAAAAAAAAAACCGATTAATATATTCTTTACCAGACATACCGCTCTCCGAATTCATTGTGAACTACCTGGTGGACCAAGGAAATGTGGAAAATCATGTGCTGTGGGCCAAACTGCTGGCGGATTACGACGTAGAGCGTCCTGATTTTGGTGACAAGCTACGACCGCTGCTCGCGACCATCGCCGATGAAAAAGAAGCCGCCGCATTTGAAGAACTCCTGCAGAAGCATTGCGTCAGCTGGAAATGCAGCCAAGTGCAGCGGGATATAATCAAACCGATTGTGGACGACTTTAAGCGTCATCTCGACGAGATGAAGACGCAGCACAGTGACTGGGCTTGGTCAAAGATACACAAGAGCCACGTGGAGGAGGTGCAATCGCTGGCCCTAGACGATGACTTGAAAAACGCGGTGATCCGTTTCATATTTGAACGCACCGTGGCCAAGTTTCCCATAGCCGATATCCTGTGGCTATCCTACATTCAATTCATCCAGGCCGAAGGCGAAGGCGGCAGCGTGGAAGAGGACGAGGAAACCGCTGAGGCGGCGGCCAAACGTGAAAGCCGCCTGAGCAAAGGCTTCTTACGCAGCACGGCCCTCGATTTGGCCAAGCGTGGAGTCCGAAGTCGTCCCAGTGTGCGTCTGAATCACAGATTCCTCGATCTAATGGAGCGTGCCGACTACGAGCAGCCCGAAGTTGACGCCCAGATTCGCACAATTCTGCAGCGCATTGTGCCGGACATGAACATGACGGTGGAGCTGCACCTGGACTATCTGGCCTATCGCGTGCGCAACACCAATGCCGGGGATGAGGAGCAGGCCGCCAGTTTGCGTGCCGCCTTCGCTCGCGTCTGGGAAGAGCTATCTGCCGTTTATGGCGACGAGGCGGACACCAGATACGAGGTGCTGCAATTGTGGGCACAGGTGGAGTACACACACCTGGCCAGTCCGGCCAACGGTTCGCACATTTGGCGTCAGATCATGGGTGAGCAGCGACCTCCGCGCTCTCTATAAACACCGCATTCAAAGCATTTCCTCCTCCTCCTCCTTCCTTCTCAGGTTATCCTGGCAGTTCACATCGTGGCCTGCTCTGGCTAGGTTTCGCCCAAATGGAAAGCGAGTACAATGCTGGTCAGGGCACGCGTGATGTGCTGCGTGAGGCTCTGTCACAGCCCGCCCTGGAGGACGGCATCATGGTGCAGGAGCTCTATCGACGCTACGAGCGCTGCTACGGTACCTATGAGTCCATAGCCGCCTGTCAGGCTCTTGACTTGCCCGCCGACTACATGAGACAGCGTTCGCGTGTGAAGCCCACTTCCCATCAGGCGATTTCTCGCCATCACCAACCGCCACAGAATCACGGTGAGCCATTGAATCGCGAGCAGCGACGTCGTCAGGCGCATCAACAGCAGCAACAGCAGCAACAGCAGCAGCAGCAGCAGCAGCAGGGCACCAAAAGGCCACTGGCCAAAATTGCTTCGAAAACTGCATCACAGGATGGTACGCCGCCAGCATCGAAGGCCAGACTCACTGCACATCCCGCTGCAGAGAACCGAGAATCTAACTTTAAGTATTCGCGTGAGTCGCAAGCATTGAGCATAGGTTGTATCTACTTAAATGCGTTCATTTTGTAGCACACTTGGAGAGCAATAAGATCTTTGTGAGAAACCTGCATCCCGCCTGTTGCAAAGAGGAGCTGCAAGATCTGTTCAAGCCCTATGGCAACATCAAAGATGTGCGCCTGGTGCACAAACAGTGAGTTAAAGTTATATTGACTTGGGTGATCTGAAGAATTATAAATATTTTCGTTCTTTTGCGCCAGGAACAAACAGTTTAAGGGCATTGCCTATGTGGAGTTTGAATTTCCAAAGGAAGCCCAAGCAGCGGTGGCTATGCGCGATGGTTACCTGTTGAGGGGCATGAATGTGAGTTATCCTTTCTGTTTCTCTTTTTTTCTAAACTAATATCAACTCGTGATCAACTCGTGCAGATTTCCGTGGCCATTTCAAATCCACCGCCAAGGGGTTCCTCGTCCGATCTTCCCAAGCCCAGTGTGGCGCCCAAAAGACGCGTGCCCACTTCGCTGATACCAACGACACTGGTGCGCCAGGAGGTGGCCGCCAAGAAGCGGCGCCTGCTGCAGGTCACCAAGGACGTCGGCGACGTCGCCGGTGGCGGCGAGCCAACCACATCAACGTCGTCAGCCGTTGACGACACCACTGAGCCAGAGGCTAATGGCAAATCGATCAATGCCTTTAAGGAAATTAATGACAAGGAAAAGGAGCCAGTTGCTGTGCCCAAGTCAAACGAAGACTTTCGCAAGCTATTTCTTAAGGATTAGGCCATAATCCCTACGGTCGAGAGCCGTAAAACCACAACGAGTACACCGTATTCAAAGACGAATATTCGGAATTTAAAATGTAAGATTTTAGACAACCCAAACTGAACGAACCAAAAGGTTAAAACAAAAGTGTACAAAATGAAGCAGACGCGTAGACATTGGTTTTAAATGTGCAAAGTTGTAAAAGTGAACCAAATGGAAATTGTAGACAGAGATTAAGAAGTACATCTCTCGATTTGTTGCAGAAAAAAATATCTGATAATAAGCATGTTTTATATACATATGTTAGAGCCCTTTAACTTAAAAACGAAATCCTTATATCTGTGAGTTCTGGATGACCAGCAAATGCCACTTAAATATATGATTTTCAAATGTACCCGAGAAACCGAAATAAAATGTACAAAAAGAAGCAAGTTGGTTAAAACAATGAAGGTCTTGTTGATGATTTATTTGATAACTGCTAAGTGGACTAAGTGCGGAACTTGACGCTCTTGGTGACGCTGGCCTTAATGCCGGACATCTCGCCGCCGTAGCGAGTCAGCTCCTTGCGCACCGTGCGCACGGCTCCCTTGCGTCGGATGAGTGCCTTTCGGTACTTGCCGCGATGCTTGACACGCGGATTGCGCAGCTCCTTCTTGCGGTGCGGGGTGAGGCCCTTGTTCTTGGCCATCTGGTAGGTGATGCCGCGTCGGGCCAACTCCTCCTCCTCCTCGTCGTCGTCCTGCTCCCCTTCAGCCTGATCCTTCTGATCCTGCCCCTTGTCGTCCTCATCATCATCATCATCATCATCATCACTGCTGCTTACTTCGGCCTGGTCCTGTCCATTGCTGTACTTGTTGAGGATCTGCAGCTTGGCCTTGCGCTGTGCCACATCCAGCACGGTGAACGCATCGCCATCTTGAATCCGCTCCAGCAGCGCCTCCAACTGCGGCCGTATGTACTCCTCGTAGCGCGGCATTAGCTGATCCCTGAGCAGCTTGAGCTGCACCAGTCGCTTGACCACCGGATGGAACTTGACGCCACTGCGACGCGCCTTCAGCAGCAGATAGAAGGCCACATTGGAGCAGTGGGTGGTGAGCACGGTGTGGTAGAGGCTGGCGTACTTGAGGGCCGGCACCATGGGCACATCGTGATTGCGGACATAGTTCAAAACGGGTGTGATCAGGTCCCTGACCTCCGTCAAATGCTTCTGAAAGTCCTGGGTGAGACCGATCAGCTCCGGCGAGTCCTTCTGCAGCAGCTGCAGGCGTTCACGTGGCGTCAGTCCGGTCAGATCGGTGGTTACACGCCTCATCTTGCCCAGCTCCTCGTCCTCTTCCTCGCTGCTACCTGCAGCCGCCTGGACATCGTCCAGCTGGAAGTCTTGCTCGCTCAGCCGCTTGGCCAGGCGCAACTGGATCTTCTTGGCCTCCTCCTCCTCGGCGCGGGCCTGCTCCTCTTCCTGGGCATTGTAGCTGCTGTAGTCCTGATCCACGAAATCCGTGTTGTAGTAGGTGCTCCGCTTGCTGCCCCAGTCCATTGTGTTGGGCAGATCGCGATCATCGTCCTCGGCTCCCTCGATGTCGCTATCCCGCATCAGATCCGCCACATCCTCATCTCCATCTGCATCGTCATCGTCGTCGTCGTCATCACTAAATGCCAGGACTTCCTGGCGGGGATCCTGCTGGCGGCGCTTTTGCCGCTGCTGGCGCAAATCCTCCAGTATCTCGCGCTCCTCTGCATCGTACTCCTGCTCGGAACCGGTCAGCTCGTAGTCGTCACCCTCGCTGTCCATTTTCTGGCCGGGATTTGTTCAAGTTCAACAATTAAATCGTACAACACGTGCGTAAACAAACAAGTCAAAAAAAAAGTGTACCGTCCAGCTCTTAAATATACCAAAATCTGGCTTCAAATATACCAAAACATTTTTTAGGCATTTACTATTAATATTTGGAGGTTGTCCTGGCTAACTGTGGAGGGTGCACTCGCTAAGTTTCCAATGCACCCATTCCCATTTTATTTCGCCATCCCTACTTTCCAGACAATGCCCGCGTTGCCAGACCAAAAAAATACCGCCAGTTGAAAATACAGTTGTATTCGGAGGACAAAATTAAAACTTTCCACGAACCAAGTTTAAATGACAGGAAAAGTGACCAAAACGAAGTCACTAAAAGCGCGAGTAAATGAAATCCTGACGGACGCAATGCTCAAAAATGAAGTGTCTCAACGTAACCGATACGCACGTGCCAGATACCGTCTTATGCAGATGGATAGAAAGAATTTGGCCAAAGATCAGGCCCAAAAAGAGGTGATAAATCTGGTAAAACCATGCTTTAGATCAGCAATAATCCACGTATTCTAATAATATACTCTGTCAAGGATACTTCGAAACCCTCGGATCTTGCTGGGAAATCCAAATTTCATGCGGTTTTAGCTTTTCAAAAGCCATGCGACCTGGCAAAGGTGGGTAATCTTTTGGTTTAATGTAAAGTAATGCGTCCACTAACGAATCCCAATTTTCAGTTGGACTCCGAATTTTCCATCCATCCAAAATCCCATCATAACTGCTGGGAAAGGCCAAAACCAGCGACTTTAACTTCCAAGGAGGCATGTGATCAGGAGAATCCACTTAGCCAGGTGGTTGCTGGAGATCAGGCCCAAAAAGAGGTTAGAGAACTGGCAAAACCTGGTTTTAGATCAGCAATAATTATCGTATTCTAATAATACACCTTGTTAAGGTTACTCCGAAGCTTTCGGATCTTGCTGGGAAATCCAAATTTCATGCGATTTTAGCTTTGCAAAAGCCACGTGACCAGGCGAAGGTGGGTAATCTTTTGGTTTAAAGTAAAGTAATGCGTCCACTTAAGAATCCTCACTTTCAGTTGGACTCCGAGTTTTCCATCCATCTAAAATCCCATCATAACTGCTGGGAAAGACCAAAACGGACACTTTTAACTTCCAAGGAGGCATGTGGTCAGGAGAAATCCATTAGCCAGGTTTTTAATTTGAAGACTTTGTTCAGTTTAGGGTATCCTTTCATGGTAAAAAAAACCGTTTTTCAGTCCGAATCGTCTGACCATTTTCCAAGTTGCGTAACCAGCCATGCATCCTCATCCTCATCCTCATCCTCTAGCCACGTAAAGTCCCAGGAGGATAACAAAAACAAGGGCATTTGTCATTTGTCGCAGATCAAACTGCTGGCGGGAGCAGGACCAGAGAAACAGGATGCACAGGTTGCTACGCCAAAAACCGAGCTGTGCACCAGGGTTATTCAGTTAATTCCCGACAGCAAGGAGGACTACATGAATCAATGGCTTATCTCGGCGGCCGGATTGCCCCCCAATCATTCGCCGAAAGAACCTGTGCAACAGGAAGCCATAGAGTTGCCTTGTGGTAAATCTTTCCAAGAATTTTCGGCCGCTGATAGCGATGAAGAGGAGTTAACCGGAACAAATCCCTTTGCCAAGGACACCACCAGTGATCCACAGGCTTTGCCAGTGGATAATCCTGAAGCAGAAGAGGCCAACGAGCTGATGATGGACTTTATGCAACGCCTGCAGTTCCGTGCTGCGATTCCAGAAAGCTGTTTGGTTAGTTTATGTCCCAGCTATCATGTATTTTGAACTTCAATGTTTATGCTTAAATAGACTGATGCTGTGTTCATGGTGGACAAACCCAGAGATGCCGTCGCCCTGGGCAAGGAGTTGCCTACTTTGCGCCTGCAGGACAACTGCCGAGAACAGGACCAAATTATGATCTCCGTTTGCAAAGTAAGTGAAGGTAAAACCATGTTATAATAGTAGTGCCATTTACTATATATTTCTCTGCACATCGCATAGGTTTACAGTCCATTTCAGTTTTGGTTTCATTTCGTAAACGGCTTCCAAGACTCCAATATGCTGGCCGAGTTGAACAGGAACATCAAGTGAGCTTATAGCTGCCCATAACGCCGCTGTTGATTTACCTGCTTTTTGGTTTACGCTTACAACCCACAGCCACTATTATAATAATGAACAAATGGAAAACTACAGCAACCCATTGTCGACGTATTTTCTGAAAGCCGGTTACATTTGCGCTGCAAATCACCGTGCGGGATGGCGACGTGCCAGAATACTGACCACTCCGCCAAAGGATGCCGATTGGGTTTCCATATACTACGTGGACTATGCATCGTCCGCTAAAGTGACGCCGAATGATCTGAGATTCCTGCCCGATTGGTTTACGGATTGGCCGGCATTGGCTGTCCGGGGTACTCTCTCCTATGTCCATCCGCTGGGTCTTCACTGGTCACCGGACAGTACGCTCCAGTTCCGGCGCTTGGTACTCAAACGGGAGCTGCACGCCCAGGTCACCGAAATGGATGCCGATGCGGGCATACTCTTTCTGCGACTTTCGGAAACGAAAACCTTCGATCCGTCGATCAATAAAAAGCTGGTCATCGCAAATCTGGCCGGGAAAAGCGATCACTACAGTCGGGAGCTCATCGACTATAATTGTGGCAGGAGACTACGTTATCTGAGAGAACGATTGCCCAGGTGGGAGTTGGATTTGGATCAATATATAGTAGTATATTATACCTAACTCAATCTCCCTGTTCTAATAGCTTTGAAATTCTGGAGTCCCGTGTGATTCCGCTGCGGGATGAAGAGTTTGAGAACGAATTCGATGACATAATCTATTCTCCTTCCTTCTACAAGGATTTCCAGCTGCCCAAGCTATCGAATCCCTTTCGTTCTGGCCTCCTAGAAGCGCTGGCCGCTTGGATGCCCGCCTACCGAAAGGAGCAGGAGCACTGGTCCCAGATTTACAGAAAGGCCAATCAAAAAGTGCGAGAGGCTCAACATCGGGCTGTTTTGGGCAGGCAGGAGTTAGCACAGGATGAAGAGATTGAAGAGGATCCAAATGATCCGGAAAAACAAAATGTGACAAAAGAACAAAATGAAAATCTAGTGCAAAATGAGGAATTAAAGCAAAAGGAGGATAAAGTGCAAAAGGATCTAGAGCTATAGAAGAAAATATAGGAAAAGAATCAAGGAAAAGAAATGGAGAAAGTCGCAGTCTAATTACATATTAAATAACATCTTAATACTTCATTATCTTCAATTGCATAGATCCAAATACATGGAATTTTTCGCATGTTACATGTGGAGTGACACCTAACATGGAATATTTTTTAAATACCGCTACATAGAATTTTAGCCTGAACAAAAAAAACACTTGTTAATGAAATAGTTAACGAAATTTAAATATTGTTTACCATGGAACTATGTACACTTTATACAAAACTTGCTTTTGACACAATCTCATATATGATTCTTAAGATTTCTAACCCATTGTAAATTCCTTAAGTTCCTTGACATAAAATTAGAGAAACCTCTAATAATACTCGTCTAACGAATACAAAATATTTTGTATTAAATATATGACAACCATGTTATACACATTTAAATTCAATATTTTAATATTGATTTGATTTTATTGTTATTAACCGAAAAGGAACAAACGTTTAAATAATGTGGTTGACTGTATACTAAACGTTCTATTTATCTGTTCGGAAAAGATCTTTTGGCTATAAATATTTTATTTTTAATATTAAGATAGTGAAGACCACATTTTTTCGTTTCAGATTTAAAATCATATTTTATTGCAATTAAAATATATCAATAAGACATTATTTATTTCTGAAATTAGACAAAATATTTAGCTTAAGTGAACTTAGAATTTGAATGAATATTTTGTATATTTCAGTAAACTAATCATCGCTTTCCTTTGGGAGATCTTGCCACAGATTTCGGACTGGTACTCCAGTGATCCTTTCCTGAATATGAAGCTACTGCTCCAAGGTCCCAATGAACTGGAAGGTGGACAGCAGACTCTCGCGTTGAGGAAACGAAAACGGCGACGACTGGTCCTCCTCCTCCTCCTCCGCCTCCTTTTCCCCCTCCTCCCCCTTTGTGGCAGCATTGATGAACTGGCAGAATAGCCTGTGATTCGAGCCAGGTGCTGGCACCATCTCCTCGCAGTGATTGTTTATCGTGAGGCCGGGATAGGACTTGAACCCGGGCATCATCAGTGAGATTTGCCGCCACTTGCTTGGTCCTGGCTGTGTTTCCAGCTCCCAGGGCACTCGTTCAGTGGGTTGATGGCTACCAATGGTGGCCGATTGGAAGCCCAAGGCCAAGCGATCCTCCGTGGCCAGCGGAGCAGGGTGCATCTCCAGATCGGAGGCGTACTGGGAGGCATCCTCCTGGAATTTCTGTGGCGTACTTTCCGCCGTAACCGTGCTGACATTCGTTGAGCTGAGCGAAAAGTCTAGCAGCCGCTGGGGCGAAGTGTCCTCATCCTCGTCTGCCTGGCGTCGTTGTCGCAGCTCGGAATTCTGGCGCCTCAGCACCAATAGTCGCTGTGGTCCGCTGTTGCCATCATCGCTGCACACATCGTCCTGGGACGACAACGGAACTAGCTTCAGCCCACTATAACGCCGATGGTTCTCATCCAGGGAATCGTCCTCCTCCTCCAGCCTCATCAAGTGCTCCTCCTTCAGCTGCGGCTCAGTCTCCTGCTCCTGAGCCCGCCGAATGAGTTGCTGCCTTGGCGGCATCTCGTCCTTGTCCTCATCCGTCAGCATTTCCAGTTGGCGGTAATCCGGATACGGGTAACTGGGTGTTTGAGGAAATGCGGTTTAAAATTCAGTTAAAACTTGACATTTAATCATCGTACTTATTTGAACATAGTTTATTTTTATATATTTTACAATAAGCTATAAAAGAACATACATTATTTAAAATGGATTATGCTAAACTTTAAATGAACAGAAAAAATGTTTGAATTTGTAACAACATAAAGTAGGTAACCACACAAAATTAAACTCATGTAACTAATATACCAAAATTTTTAATTAAAAGACTTATCGGCATGTAAAGCAATACCGATATTATAATTTTTATATAAACTATTTGCAAAATATTTATCATTCAACATATTTAAAGTGTCAATGAAACTATTAGATTTATAAAAAATTATTTTGCAAGAATAACTAAAAAGTTTGTAAAGTTTGTAAAGTAGTACAAAATGGTACTACATTTGAACATTGAAACATAATTGAAAATATAAACTAAGGGAAAGTCAATTAATAGTTAAACCAATGTAACTTTTAAAACAAATTTATTTGAAGTGTGGATACTGATCTGATTGCTAGCAATGCAACATAAAAATATATATGTAATCCTATAACTTAATGTTATAATTTAATATATTATCCAAATATTATATAAAATATACAGTATAAAATCAAAGGGATGTTTCAGTATGATCTTTACAAAAAAAAAACATAAAATTTAGTAAAAATAAACGTCGCATAATCTTAAAAATTAAGGTGGAACGGAACCTCAAAATATATTAACTTTTAAAGATTGAATATAAGCTAAATAAACATAATAATAAATTATTAAACAAATCACCTTGGATATTACCAGAAAATGTAAGAACATAATAGTCTGCAAAATTTTAAAAAATTATTTATAAATTCCAAAGGATGTATAATTTGGATTATAAATAAAAAAAAAATAAATAATTTAAAGTTAATTTAAAGGTTGCCCACAAACAAAGTAAAAAAAAAATATATATATAACTTGGATTACTACCAAATACATATATAAACTTTAGAAAATGTTTAAAATATTAATTATAAAATGAAAATACTTAGAAAGAAACATCTGAATGTAAGGGCTATAAAAATAAATTGTTCAACCAGTGATACCTTATTTCCCGCCTTGGTGCCTGTCGGGGAATGGGATCGGGTTGCAGATTGGGTTGCAGATTGGGTTGCAAATTGGGTTGCAAATTGGGTTGCAAATTGGGTTGCAAATTGGGTTGCAAATTGGGTTGCAAATTGGGTTGCAGCTGTGGCCGACTCCCACCGCAGAGGCGTCGCTGGCGAACCAGGAGCAATCGCTGCAGATTCTGTCGCGACTGTTCGTTGCCGTAGTTGATTCGCTTGGCGGTCCGCTCCCGTCGATCAAGGGCATCTTTGCGGGCATCGGCCACCGCTTGCATTTTGGCCGAAAGCCGGAGCTGAGTCCTCAGTAATTCACCGGCTCCGGCCGCGAATATTTGCCCGTTCCTTCGCGACATCTCCATTCCCAGTTCGCGGGCTCTGGCCAAAGCCCTCACCCGTTGCTCATGAGTCCTTTGCTCCGGCGTGACATTGGTCAATTTGAGTAGATTCCTCCGGATTGGATGGCGTCCACCAGTCGGAGAAGTGGATGGTCCAGTGCGGATTCTGTTGAGATGGGAGGCTGAAGTACCTGGGCCAGTACCAGTACCAGAACTAGCACTAGTACCAACACCAACACCACTACCAGAACCCGTACCAGAACCAGAACCAACACCAGCACCAGATCCTCCCTCCTTGATCTCCTCAATGTCGCGGAAAAGACGCTTCAAACGCACCTGCCGCATCTTCAGATCGATGGTACGATCGTTGAACTCCTGGATTCGCTCGTACTCCTCCGCCAATCTCTGCAACTGTCCATTCCTCTTGCTGTTGTTGAACATCCGCCGGAAATACGGTGTCGATTTGATCTGATACGACATTGTCTATCACTACAACTATATGGCTCGGCTTTTGGGCTAATTATGTTTATGCTCTGTATTTTGGCAGTTTCCAAAAAGCACTGGGCAATTTTGCAGTTTCCAAAAGGTTTTTTTTTTTTGAGTGTGCTTGGCTAACGATATTAATTTTTTCATGTGCGTGACTTTAAGTTTTGTTTGCGAATGCCAGGGGAAAAGGGTAATATCAATGACGTTTCCATTCGCCGCCTACTAATCACTATCATTCGGAAATAAAACGTCTTAAAATGAAACACAAAAAAACTGGACTACTGCGATTTGGATTTTTAGATTCATTCTACAATTGTAAAAAAAAACTACTGTTATGTATTTTAAAAAATTAAAACCAAAGAATTCAAGTACAAAAGAAGACCACTTGTAAATTATGTAGAAAATGATTATGTAAGCTTTATAGAAGCTGCACAAACAAGTTACATATATTGGTAATATTACCTATTACACAGTAAGTGATTAGGGTTCGCTGAAAATCAAGAACTTAGAATAGTTATAAGCTGGAATGAGAAGCCTTAACCCAAGGAAAAATAACTTGCGAGTAAATTTTAGTCAAAGTGGTTACAATTTATTGATCGAATTGCTAAGTGCCTAACCTTAAAGCTATTATTGATTGTCCAAAAGGCATTTCGAGTTGAGTTTAAAACGGAATACAATTCTCAGACCTAAGAGGTTATGTCGCAGACACGCCTCCACGCCCTAAAGCATACATATAAGTACATCAAGATTGAGGTTAGGTTGTTTTTCTTTGCTGGTTTAACACTTTTTTCTTTATAGTAATCTTATTTTAATGACCACACGCGCATCTCCTACTCCCACATCGCTTACGAGCTAAACAATGATACATGACAATAGTTAAGACGAATACAAAAAGAACACATTTTTGTGGGTTAAAATCTAGTTGAGAGCCTGCTCCGAGTAATGATTGTTCACTGCTTGTTCAATGTTTTCTAGGTTTTTACCAACTTGGCCATCATGTCGGTGAGCTTATGGTCATCGGCGCCAGAAAAAGATGCCAAACGGCGATTGTTCTTGATGAAAACGAAGGTGGGCATGCTGCGCACCTTGTAGCGCTCCGTCAACTCCTCAAACTTGTCCACATCGATCTTGAGGACCACGGCCTTGGTCGAGTACTTCCTGGCCAGCGATTTCACCGTACTTTCCATATCCTTGCAGGGGCCGCACCAATTGGCATAGAAATCCAGGACAATCAGTTTGTCACTGGCCGCCTCGATCCTCTTGTGGTAATCGGTCATGGTGCGAATGGCTGCCATTATTGCGGATGATGGATGGTTCGGTGTTGAAAGGTGTTGAAACTGCAATTTAAGATCTTTGCGGACAAAGTGTCGATCCTTCGAATTTGATTTTTGCACTGGAGGCATGGTCGGCTCCACAGCCGTTTTTATAGGCTCCAATTACCGTTTTGGAGACTGGAATTCCCGCCAATTTTTCGCTGAATTCGCGATTTTGCCGCCTCTCTTCAGTCAAAGACAAAATGGCCGACTGTGTTGAGAACAAAATGGCCGACGTGGCAGAGCTGCCAGACGGTGGCAAAAGCGCTCAAGCATCGGGCACACTTATTCACCACTGAAAAACTATCGCAGCTTTGGAATATCTTTTAATTATTATTATTTTATTAAATAAAAGCTATAATTTGCTTTTTCATTTCTTACTTTAATGAATGACGTTTTTTGGGCTATAAATAAGAAAGCTTTTTTATGCCTATTTGTAATTACAAACCCAAAATAATACAAACATTATTTAAGACTTATATTTGATTTAAAATCCACGTTTAGAAAATATAGCTACTTATGATAACGTGTAATTAACCCAAAAAATTGCAGACAACAATAACAATATTCAATAATTTAAAATATATAATATTTTGCCATTGAAAGAGTGTAATTTTTCCCAAAATCAACCCAAAATCAACTTTGCAAAATATTTTTTTTTAGCTTTTTAGACTGGCTTTATTTTGTAAAAGTAAACGTTTATAAAAACTTAAAATTTCTTGGTGTTAATATATAAACATCATCGACCCAATGGTAACAAATTTGAAGATTGCTGCTGTCATCCCCGCGAGATCCATATACAAAATGAAATGTATATTCATTTAAAACAGCTAGAGTTTAATATACAAAACAAAATTCATTTCATTTAATTTAAATCAAGTGTCCTTTGTGGACGCTGAAGCAGAAAAGCCGCCTGTTCAATAGGCTATTACCACCACTGTATATACTGTGGTATTTTCCTCCTTGCAACGAAGTGGTCACACTAACTCACCATGGATGACATTTAAATTATATTTTTCGATCCAAGCAGGCTTTTTTATGTGCCAGATTTCATTTTGCCTTAACTTTGCCAAGTCAGTCTATCATTTCGGCCGCCCAATTCGATGTGAGCAGACGTTTTGCTCCGCAAATTTGAATTAGAAAATATTCAAACTTTTGAAATAATTTGTAAAAACGCTTTTTATTTTCTAGCTTAAATCATGGTGTATCTGGTGAGGAATAAGCAAGATCTCGACAAGCAGCTGGCTTTGGCCAAGGACAAGCTGGTGGTGATCGATTTCTATGCCAACTGGTGTGGACCGTGCAAAAATATAGCCCCCAAATTGGAGGAATTGGCGCAGCAATATTCGGACCGTGCGGTGGTGCTCAAGGTGGATGTAGATGACAACGAGGAGATTTCGGTGGACTATAATGTGACCGGCATGCCAACGTTTGTGTTCATCAAAGGCGGCGAAGTCCTGGAGCTTTTCGTCGGCGGAAATCCTGATAAACTGGTCAAATCCATGGAGAAATATGTTAGCGATGTGGATGCCACGGAGCAGCGTCGCACAACTAGTCACCTGGAATCCGAGGAAATGTGCAGCGCCGCTCCAAGTGTCTCCTCCAGTGGCACCGTCAACGAAGATGTCATGTGCGAACTATCGGAACACGATCAAGAGGCTACGGAGGCCATGGAGGCCATGGTAGATCAGTAACACCCGGGTCTATAACACTTAAAGATACCCCCAAGCTCATCTGGAAATCTTGAAACCGCACCAAACTGTAGATAATTTCAAATGTTTCAGGATTAAAGCTAAACAGCCTTGACATTATAATCATCAAAACAGTATATCAAGACTCAAACCGTCATTCTTCTAACCTCATAATGAAGATACTCTAATCATATTTAATACAACACAAGACGGTGATCTTATCTCGAAGTCGAAATACTCTATATGCTATCTCAATCACAAAACGCTGGATACCAAGGAATAATCTATACCACTAAACTTTGGATATCTACAATTTTGAAACCGAAATATTGTGCGCGCTAGCTCAGCAATTAAAAAAAATATGAACAATCGATTTCGGTTCAATAAAACATACACATACAAATTATTTATTAATTCTAATTGTATACCTATAAACATTGAACTTGATTTTAATTTTTAAAATGAAATTGGTTGCTTGTTTTAAAACTTAACAAAATTAAAAGACTTCACTATATGCATGCCTATATATTAATATACAAGTATATTAAAAGTCTGCCTTAAAGCATTCACAAATCTGAAGAGGATGGGTATAGTTTCATATCTGGACTTTATAAAAAAGTATTTAAATACTACACTAAGATTTCTATACCTCTACATGTTTCCCTTGTTTAAAACGCAAAATTCTATAGGTATATATTGATTTATTCTCTACTTTAAATTAAGAATTGGAGTTGCTTGAACAGCCAGCGAGCGACCTTTACACTTGGTCCGTGTATGCGGCACGCTCACTTCTTGGCGAAGGTGATCTTCATGGCGTGCGTCGGCGTAATTCTGAATCCCTGGAGCGCCTCCTTGGCGGCATTACTTTGCAGCTCCGTGGTAAACTCCACGAAGGCGATGTCGTGACGATTCGGCACGAGACGCACCTCCTTGAAGCCAGGGAACTGGTTGAACAGCATGGACAGCATCATCTCGTTGGTCTCCTCGGGCAGATTGGTGAGGAAGAGGATCTGGTTGGGTGGCTGCTCCGTCTGTGTGTTCGGGTTCGAGTTCTCCGCGCTGCTCGGCTTCTTTTTCTTGTCCCTGAGTGGCAGAAAATTAATAAGTTAAGTGAAGTTGATTACACATATTTTTGTAATCAGTCTAACTAAAATTGTGCCCATTTCCTATTACAAACCAATAAAATTTAGTCAGGCACAATGATAAAACAATTATGTGCAGGAAAATAATGAAATTCCCTTTAAATTCTACCAAAAGAGCATTAAAGATTGGTTTATGAGCAAAAATTCGTAATATTTAGTCTGGTAATCACTGCCAGTGAAAGAAGTTTTCAAATTGATGAAGTATTAAGTCATATTTCACTCAAATTATAAATAAGGATTAAGGAACACACTAAATGAAAAGCCGGATATTTAAATGACACTTGGATGTGATCTAAAAACAAATCATAGGAACTGATGGTGCAGGTGTGATAGTAAGCAGTAGGATTGCCGTATAAATTGGTACATGCAGGGCGAGAAATCATTCTCTCCAGGACTTAAAAGCATGATACTCACTTCTTTTCCTCGACACCTGGCGCCGGTTTTGGTGGCTTAATCTTCTTGGGTCGCTCCTTGAAGGTTCCCTTCAGCTTGGCCACAATATCCGAGTCCGATTTCGAGTAGGCTATCTGCATGGGCTTGTCGTAGAAGGGGAATCCCTGCATGGTGCGCAGGGCATTCGAGGCGCTTCCGATTTCCTTGAAGATTACAAATGCTTGGCCGCGCATCTTGAGGGTTTTCAGTGCCACAATGTCCAGTATTTGGCCGAACTGCGAGAAAATCGCGTAAAGCGACTTTTTCAGCTCCTCCTTCTTGATCTTTTCGTTCAGGTTGTTGATATAGATCGTCTGGTTGGGTCGCACGTCCATCCTGCCGGCCTTTTATTCAATTAACTCGACAAGAAACAAGTAACTTTTTTTGTGGATAAAAAAAAATGCTCCCTTTCGGTGTGTCGGTGTTGAAAAGTGCCCAAACTGTCAACGCGTTGTCGCCTTGCACCGGCGTTATCGATAGCCGCCCAGTGTTGTAATGCGGCAGTGGAAATAAGCTATAAAGTAGCTAGATGTTTACATCGTACAATAAATAAAATATAAATAGATTTTGATCTTCAAAAAACAAAGTTTCCAGTTATTATCAATATTCTGAAACGATGTTTAATTGATTACAATAACCTTGTATTAAAGATGATGATCTACTAAAATTAGAATTAGAAATATAAAAAGTGTTCCTATATATTACTCCTTTTAACAACACCTACTTTGAAGAAATATTTACTTTTTGTATTTGAAAGCTCGTTGAAATCGACGGTTGCTGAAGAATGGTTTAAATGGTTAGAATTTTGTTTTAAAAGAAAGTTATTAGTAAGATTCAAATGTTGATGCTTATTATAATTTTTTTTATATTTTTATATTTTACAATTGTTTTGTAGTGATTGTCTTCCCTTTAATAGCTGTTAATAACAAAATATGATAGATAAAATTCTTTTTGTGAATTAAATAAAAAAAATGAGCATTTCGAATTCTATTTTAAAATATTTAAAGTTAGCATAAACACCATTTTAAATAGGTATCGTTAAGATTAAATTTCTTTTATAAAAAAAGCTAAAATTTTCTGGCTTGAAAGCCAACATCTCTACTTGCGATAACACATTTTATTGCGATAACACATGCCGGCGTCTATCGGCCAAATTGAATTGTTTTGATTTGGCCTCGCGGCATTTCTTTGTTTTTTGTGTTATTTTTGAGGATTCCCTAAGATGCTGCCCAACGCCAACGACAAGAAGGATCGCTACGCCAAGTTGTCCTTCCTTGGCGAGGGTCAGGTGAGTCCTGCGTAGTGACAGACCAAATAAACCCAACTTACATGGGCTTTTCGACTCTCTTTTCGACCGACCAGTTTGCCATTGTTTATAAGGCCCGGGACACGGTGACGAGTCAAATTGTGGCCGTGAAGAAGATCAAGAAGGGTTCCCGCGAAGATGCACGCGATGGGATCAACAGGACGGCTCTGCGGGAGATCAAGATCCTGCAGGAGCTGCAGCACGAGAATATCATCGGTTTGGTGGATGTCTTCGGGCAGCTGTCGAATGTCTCGCTCGTTTTCGATTTCATGGACACCGACCTGGAGGTGATCATCAAGGATACCAAGATTATCCTGACTCAGGCGAACATAAAGGCCTATGCCATAATGACTTTAAAGGGCCTGGAGTACCTGCATCTGAATTGGATACTCCATCGCGATCTGAAGCCCAATAATTTGCTGGTCAACAGCGATGGAGTGCTGAAGATCGGTGATTTCGGTCTGGCCAAATCGTTTGGCTCGCCGAATCGCATTTACACTCACCACGTGGTCACACGGTGGTATCGTTCGCCGGAATTGCTCTTTGGAGCCCGACAGTATGGCACTGGAGTGGATATGTGGGCGGTGGGCTGCATCCTGGCGGAGTTGATGTTGCGGGTGCCCTTCATGCCGGGCGATTCGGATCTGGATCAGTTGACCAGGATCTTTGCCACACTGGGAACACCGTCGGATGCGGAATGGCCGCATTTGGGCAAGCTGCACGATTACCTGCAGTTCAGGAACTTTCCGGGCACTCCACTGGAGAACATCTTCACCGCCGCTGGCAATGATTTGATCCACCTGATGCGCCGCCTGTTCGCCATGAATCCCCTGAGGCGCGTGTCCTGCCGGGAGGCCCTGAGCATGCCGTACTTTGGCAATAAGCCCGCACCCACGGTGGGCCCCAAACTGCCCATGCCCTCGGCCATTTTGGCCGCCAAGGAGGGCGCCAATCCGCAGGCCGGCGAGGAGAAGCCGGCGCTCAAGCGAAAGCTGGTGGAGACCACGGTGAGGGGCAATGGATTGGCCCAGAAGAAGCGACTGCAGTTCTAGCTTAGCATAAGGTATCAATAATTTGTAAGAGCGTCAAGGAATGCATTGCAGTCCGGGAACAAATTAATCGCCACAAATGGTATCTTGCATATTTAATATTTCTAATTGATTTTCATTGTTGAATGAAGAGTTTGTAATACAAATTTGTTCACATCAAATTGCTGCTTTCATATGTAAATTCCTAGCGGAAATTAATTGAAGAAGGCACTACGTTCATTGTTCAAAAAATGTATTGCAACCTTCGAAGAAATGAGTTATAAAACTTTCCCTAATTTAACTTTACTTTTTTTTTATTATTCAGCAAAAGAGGAGGAAATCTCTTTGTGAGTAAATTAAGACTATGCTTAATGTGAAATTGATTTATTAAAGATGCGATGCAAGGCAATGAAAAATGGGTTGTTCTTCACAAGAAATGTCCATACTATTAAAAGAATTCTGTAAATAATCATATTCGCTTCAAAAAAACACATGCGTAACTAATTGAAGTTGAAAATCCCTAGATGTTAGGAGAGACCTCCGAGATGTTAATGTGAACTTTAAGTTTAAATAATTGGAATCCCTTCATAAAATGAGATCTAATAAATTCCAGAGACTGGGAACTCATTGACTTTTCTAGCACCTGATTCCCAGTCGTCGTTCGAATCGCAGCCGAATCTCAAAATTTTGTTGTTCTTTTTTGTTTCTATAACGCAAGTTTTCCCGCTTAAGAATCCCGATTTAAAGGCGACGATGTCGAAGCACCAGCATTTGATGGACAGGGACCAACTGGCGGCCATTGCAAAGGAAGAGGCGCGTCGCAAACGGGCCGAAATGCGTTGGAGTTATGGGAACAAGTTCTCCAGCATAAATCTGACCAAGATGCGCCAGAAGAAGGAGGGTGGTACCAGTGGCGATTTGGCTGTGACCAAAGCATCGGCAGTGGATACCCCCTTGGAAGTGGAGGCCGCGCCGTCCAAGGATACGGACATGGCATTGCGACGGATTGCCTCGAGCTTTGCCCATGTCAGGGATTCGGTGAGTGGCAATTTTGCCGCCTTGCCGCCGGAGGAGAGTGAGGAAGATGCTGGCGAGGAGCGTGCTGAGGTCCTTATTTGCAGTCAGGCGATGCCGATGCAGATGCCAATGCCGATGCCGATGCCGATGACGATGCCTTTACCATCTGACCACTCCTCGACGGCAGTCGAACCAGTGGCAATGGCTAACGAGCCACTGGAGGATGTGCTTTCCCAGCAGCACGATTCCTTGAAGTTAACCGAAATAGTGCCGGATCCGTTGCAGCTCGAGTCCCGGGCCACCGAACGTTGGCAACAGCTGGGCAGTACGGTCTCCGCCTTGTTTCGGGCACGACGATATATCGACAGTCCGGAGACCCCGATGGCACAGATGCGACGCCTGCGGGAGCAACGCGAGCTCCTCGAGGCCTTTACCCGGCCCTTTCTGTTCGAGGCTCACAAGCGGGACTAGCTATAGAGCCCTTTCCCTCCCCCCTCTCCCCCCTCATTTAAATTCGAAACCCCCCGTTAAGCCAACCCCGAGCCATTGAAATTCGAGCAGAGTAGCTCCTGTGTTGTAAATCAAATTGAATTCATTTCGCAGATTGATGTGTATCTTTGTGTAATCCTCCTGGGGGGCAATGGGTGGGCAGCACAGCTGTAGTTCGTAGTCCGGAATCCATGGGCCGGACTAGTAACAGCGGCACCTGTCGCGCGGACACTCCGATTCGTAATTGAGGCACTTATCCATGCAGTAGGTATCGGCTCCTTCCTGGCCAGCCAACTCGCCAATGGCCACGCACTCCTGACTAGAGTGTCGAATAATAATTAGTAGGGTTTCTATATCTCCAATTTTGGGCTTAAGCATATACACTTACGGACAATGGCAGGCCTCCTCGGGACAATTGGGCGGGTAACGCAGGCAATTGATCTCGCACCAGTTGTCAATGCCGGGCAAAGATCGGAAGGCCGGGGCACCCAGGCACTTCTGGTCACTAAAAGTACAAAGAATAACCCAATAACAAAGGTTCCAGATCAAGGGGAATATGCTAAAGTACATAATAGCTTTTATAATCGTACTCTCACCTTCCGATTAAAAGATATTTCTAACAAATCAAGTCCCAATTAAATAAGGTCTTTAAACTAAATAAGAAATGCATACGTATACATATATGAGTGAAGTCCCTAACGTCAATGCCTTTTTTCTGATCCATACATTTTACATGTCATATAATTAGATAGTAGATAAACATAACTACCCCATTAACCAGTACCCCAGTATTCATTCTTAGCTCAAAAACATTCTTAGTTCTATTGAATATGATTTTAATCTTTCAATGGCCCTTATTTATGTTTATTTTTGTTTATATATTCAATGGCACTAAGGATTCCTCAAAGGCGATAATGGAGTAGGGTACCCTAAATTCCCATCTGCTGTACATTATAAATTGGTTGTGTTAGATTGATTGGTTGAGTTCCAAATTGAACCACACGTATGCTAGTTTAGTGTTTCCGACAAATCAAAACTGAACCTAATTCAACCTACATTTTCAAATCACAGTAGCTCTTAATTTGACACTTAAACTGACAGTCTGTTTTATTCCAGCATGGACATCATCTGAGCTCCTGTCTTTACGTTGTTTATTTCACCAGTCAGTCAGCTAATACAGTTAATCAAGGCATATCATATCACATTGAATCACATCACAACATTTCGGGCCAACAGTATCCAAAGTGTCGACGGCACGAGATGAATATGAATCGCAACCGCCTCAACCAGATGCGGCAATTGGATCGGGGTAACGAGGGCCTCCAGCAGGTCATACAAATGCAGGCAACCGCCGGAGGAACCCAGGCACAACTTGGAAACCAGGGTCAGGGTCAATCTTCGACTGGTCAAACAGTGCGGCGCAAGACGACCTACACACGGACTGAGTTGCTGTCCCGCGGCCTGTCCACCGGTGAGTAAAGCCTCGGGATTATACCCATAAATAAAATAAATATAATAAATGGAATATGAATGCAATAACGCCTGTGGGCGTTAGTGACTGAGGGTATAAAAACAGACATCTTTTAAAATAAAAAAAAAATATAAAAAACTAAAAAAAAGGCTTCCTGATCAAGCATAAAAACAATATTTTTATCCAGTCAACCATACTTAAGAATTTCTTTTTATGTTGTAATATTTAAAATAAGAACTGCAATAAAGTCTGCTAGGGGTTATTGCACTTTCAAAGGCGTTTTTATTTTAGTGCATGCACCCAAAAAGACTGCTTTCAAATCTCTTGAGATTTCTGTTTAAACCCTTATGATACAATATCCAAAAATATCTTCTTATTTCAGTTCAAAAGTCCATGCCCTTAAACCAAACGTCACCAAGACCACGACATCCACAGCCACCGAAGGATGTCTTTCCGACCACTCCCTTGAGTCAAAGTACCAATGTAACCAATTTAAACAGCACTCCGCGAATGCAACGAAGTTTTCTGCCACGGGTGGCCAGATTACCGGCCAAGTTGGATAAATCGCCAACTAAGATACCGAATCGCTTGAGTCGGGAGATTGAAGGTAAACTAGAGCAGTCGCAAATTCCTATATGCAGTCAGAAAACTGCACATTTGGTGAATACACCACATGGCAGTGACAGCAGTAGTCCGGCTCGAAGGACCATTAGGACCAATGAGGTTGTTGAAGAGGAATTCCTTAGTGGCAACAGTAGCGCCTCGGAACGTTGCAAGATCAAGTTGGCCAAGGCCATACGCTTACCGGATGACCAGAACAAGAGTTTCGTCTATTTGTGCAAGCCGGTTAAGAAGGTCAAGGAGTTACTCACTGCCCGAAGATTGCGCAATAGCTGTGATCTCTTAAACCAGACGAAAGGTGAGGATTTTGCCCTGGAGGAGGACTCCGTGAAGCTGCCATTTGCTGTTTACGAGGATGCTTTGCACAGCAAAAATGATGGCGATGACTTTACTCTCTCACCCCTCGAGGGATTGGCCCAGTCTTCGAGTAGCACCAGTCAGTTGGACACGCCCACCATTGAGGCCGTGAAGCAACGCCATCGGCTGTTGGAGACCAGGACGTCGGTGAGCACTCAGGAGCGTCTGAGGGCCCAATTGCAGGAGGTGCGCCAGAGGCAGCGACATTTGCGCCAGCTGGAACAGGACCAGCGGTACAAGGAGCAGCGCCAGCTGGAATTGGATCAGGTTTGCCAGAATCTACCCACTTTGCAGCATGAGATCCGCATGCTTCAACAACTGGGTGAGAGATTGGAGGCCACACTGCGAGTGTCCAATATACCCAAGCCCCTGACACCCAAGCACTCCTCCACCGTGTTCTATACCCCTCGTTCGAGTCCCTATATGCCGGATGAACTGCCTATCACCAAATTGGGTTGCCTTCGGGTGGAACAGATTCTTGTGGTACAGCTCAAGGCCAGAATCACGGCCACGGCTTACAGGTTTGGTTTATTGCAAGAGTTCCGCATTGAGACGAAGACCCTGAATGAACTAAAGAAGGCAGATGATCTGCAATGTTTCTATTTACCAGCTCCCAGGGAGGAACCACCATTGGCCAGCTTGAAAGAAACCGATGCCGATGTCGAAACCGAATCGGAAACCGATCCTCTTCAGTGCACTAATTTCCGAAAGCTAAGGGAGAATCCAAATGTTCTGCTGCAGCAACTAAGACATCTAAATGCGGGATCGGGCAGACCCTTCAATATACTCGATCAGGACACCATGTTCTTCAACAGTCTGGTCTTTGCGGAGTCGAAAACATTGGGTGCCCACGTACGGGAGGAACTGGAAATGGCCACGCGAGAGTCGGGAGGCGGCGGTGGGGGAACCATTGCCAATTATGGCGGAGCCATCGCCTATTCACGCCTCTCGGTGCGGGATCGTCCATTTCTGGAGCGGCCATCACCGGATCGGGGGGATCAACTGCAGCCGAGACTACCTCGAAGTCGTAGCCAAGTTCACAGCACCACGCAAACGGAACTTGAGTCGCCCAGACCAAAAGCGAAAAACCTCCTCGAACCGGTAACCGAAATCAGTTCACCCGATTATACACCGTTTCCCAGTCCCAGGCTCACAAAGCGAAAGAAAGTGAAAGGACTGAAGATGAAGGCTTGCACGCAGGAAACCCGGGAACCTGATCCCAAGCCGAAAAAGACCAGGATGGTCGTACGTCGTGTGGCGCCCGAGTCGCCAATTCAAAGTCGCATAGAGCCCAAGGTGCGGATGCAGTTGCTCAAAACCGTGCTTGTGGGAACGGTCCAGGTTGCTGTTATTCTAGTTCTCATCATGGCCTTTTCGTATCCGGATGTGAGCTGCTAAATTGCCGAACAAATTAAAGTTAACAAACACGCTACTCAAAATTTTTCAAACTGTGCGATTGCTGTAAGACTTCGGACACCAAACAGAAAATAGCTAATACAGATAACAGCTATAAAAGCAAATAACAGAAGAAGCAGAAGATGCAGAAAATGCCGAATCGATCAACAGAATCCCTCATAACCGATTCGCCTTTCGAGTTCACACATGGATTTTCCAATTTATTGTTTTCTTACTGGGCCCAAAGCGAGGCCAATGTTAATAAAAATTTCATGTGCAATGCGAATCGTTTATGCCCCAGCACCATAACCGATTCGATTCCGTATCAGTTAAGCAAAGCGGTTAAGCAAAACAATATAAATGATTTATATCGGTTTTATGTTTATTTAAGCATTTATTTATATACAGCAGTGTTTATGTGTATGCGTGTGTGTGTGTACCATAACCGTTTAAGGACTTAAAAACTTATGTAGTCGAAAAATTTACCTTTACCCGTTTCGTTATGAAAAACTTTGGCCCGATTTCCAGGCGGGAATCCAGCCGGATGAGTTTTAATTTTTGGTGGCAGTTTCAACTAGGCTAAAAAAAGCGCTTTCAAAGCTGTTTTCGAGCGAGTAGCGGGTAAGCGGTTTTTAAGCGGGTATCGGGTAAGCTGTTTAGCGGGTAAGCGGTTAAGCCTTGCCTCGTTTGCGCGCATGCCGCGTGGCATTTCTAAAAACCAAAGCAAGTGTTAAAATTGTGCTCGCTTATCTCTCTTTACAAAAAAAACTTACTTCGTTAGAGAAAGTACATTGAAATCGTTAAATTAAAGCGCAAGCGTTAATTAAGTATCGGGAAAAGTAAAGTTTTTAAAACAGTGAGTATATACATACATAGAGAACTAAAAAATAACAACAGAAGAATCTAATAAGTGTGCAAGAACTTGTTCTTTTCCACTCATAAAGAATGGAATGAAAAAATCTGAGAGAAATGAAGGGTAAGCGCAAAAGAGATTTATAAAATAACACCTCAAAGCCGAAAATTAAGAAAGTGTGTAAAATAGAAAGTTAGAGAAAATCTAAGATTAGCCCACGTTACCGAATTGGAATAATGCAACTAAAGAAAAAGATAGTAATCCGATTTTCAGATTTAACGCCCTACTTACCGCACAATAAGTGGAAAGATATTGTTGTCTTCCGGTGCCCGATAATCCCGATAATATAGCAGATATGGTGACTTGTTGTTCACGAAGATCGGCGGAACACCTCCTCCAGTGTTCGAGATAATCGCTATATCCGCACAGTTACGGAAAGTTTCTAGGGGTTAAAAATGGTTTTTAGAGTTATAAATTTGCTAGAACAATGAAAATAATTATAAAATTTATAATAAATAATAATAATAATAATAATAAAATAAATAATTATAAAAACTATTTTTGCATATTTAAAATAATCAAATCATTTTGTACTCGTTTGTATATTAAATACGAATTTTTTAGATACATTTATCCTTAAAACATTTTGTGAAATTAATGACCTTAACTATGAAATATTGTTTAATAAATAATTTTGCTTAACGACAACTTTAATGAATTTAATTTTTAGTTTTTATCAAAATGTTTTTAAAAGCTAATAAATATATAAACAAAATTCTTCAGGAATAAAGTAATCATATGGAATAAAGTAATTTTTTCTTGATATACAGAAATGCTCATGTTTTCCAAGTGTTAGCTGTAAATTATATTAATTCTATTAATTTCCAATAAAGAGATTTGTAAAATATATAATAACGAGATTAAAACATTTTCCTACCATATCGGGGTAAAATATAATGTGAAAATTCTTGTTTAAAAATTGAATTTTAATGCCATACCTGCCTTGCCGCATCCGACGGCCTCGGTTCCATTGGCGCAGGTGCCCCACATATTGGCGGTGTAGTAGGTCCATTGGAGGACGCACTGCGTGCAAGTGACATATGGAGGCAATCGCACCCGATATCGGAATATATCCTTCTTCTTGGCGTCGCGTGGTATGAGATATCGGTGCTCCCGACTGCCCGAAATCAGCAACGGATACCGATCGAAACACTGCTGGGTGGCCTCCTGTCGCGGATTGTTGTTCGGGCAGAGGAACATCTCGAAGCGACCATAATGATTGGCCGTCAGTTCCACCTCCACGTCGATTTCCTGACCGGCCGTATAGTATCGGGAGATGATGCCCTTGGCGTATTCCCCGCCAGCTTCGTGGGGCCGTGGGGACTTCACATGATAGGCATCGCCGCAGACACCACACCGTCCACTATTTTTCTCCCACTGAACCGCATAGCCACCGCAAAAGAGCTCGTTATCATTGTAATTAACGGGATTGGGATAGCCAAATCGCCACATGGCATTCCTCGCCGGCGGATCCATCAAACGGCCATGTCCTCGCACCAATATCACCAATTGCAGGAATATAAATCCCAACTGTAAGGTATTAAGGATTAAGTACACCATGGTTACCTTACCGACCCTATAACTACTTACCACACCCACTGGTAGAACGTTCATTTTGTTGGCTGTCAAGTGTCGCATCCACATCCCCGAGTTCCCGATTCCCCGATTCCCTGATTCCCAGATGGCTAGAAAGCAAACAGACATGGAACATGATATAATGCCTCAGACTGGGGGCTTAAAATCGAATGCATTTTATCAACAAACGGGTTTTTGGGCTGACCAAACAGTGGAACTCACTAAATAAACACAGGTTCTTATAAATTACCAATTCTCGCTACTTTTACTGAATTTAGACAAGCTTAGATTAACTTTAAGCTTAAATGTTAAAACATTATAGAATAACTCCAAAGATACAATTTTATACCGAAATTCCCAACTCTTCTTAAAGAGCTGATAAAAAATTAAAAAATTAAATTGATCCAAGCTTTGAATATCGTATGAAAGTCTTAATGTGCTTAGGTTCATTGATTAATTTATTAAAGAATTTTAAATAGTTATATCGAGTAATAATAATTTCTAATAATTTCTAAGTTTTTTTTTTTTGATTAAGTATAAGTATTTAAATTTTATAACCTGAAATATATGTTTTGAGACTTCTATGTTATTACTTAAATTAACAATTTTGTGAACTGACCCCTTATTTTTTTTATCTTATAATAGCAAACCATTTTCAACACTTTTATCCACTGTACGCGGTATTGGTGCATTAACTGCAGACTGCAAGGACGTCCACCTGATCCGCTTTTCGACTTTATGGCCGGTGCCCTTTATAAATAAATTCATGCCCACACACACAATCGCGAAGAGACCCAGACAGACGGGGATAAATGCAAGTATATTTGCCACTTTTTGTTTAAATAACCTTTTTTTTTTTTGCCCTGCTCTCGTTCCCTTTGAGGCTTATCTTTTATGTTAAACATGTTCGCTCGCTTGTCAAGGCGTTAAAAAATGAAGAAAAAAACCTATCAATGGATAGTGTCCCCTCCTTTTTTTTTAATATAGTTTTTTTTTAAGGTTTTTTCAATTTTGAACATTACAATTTTATGGCATCATCTAGTTTACGCGTATTCGAGGGCGGCCGAAAGGGAAATCTGCTGCATAAACGGGTTTACGGCGGGCACTTGAACTTGGTCCGGCCCCCAACAAAATCGAAATACGAAAAATACGAATGCTTTGAGCGACGATTTCTGGGCTAAAAATATATTTATGCAGATGATCGAGTTCGATTCTCATTGAATACCAAGAGATCACTGAAAAAATGAGAGTTTCAAAGATGGGTAAAATTATATAAAAAATTTATTATTGGTCCAAAAAAAAAATATGTCCTAAGTATTTTATTTCCAGCGCTATGTGATTTCCTATTGTTTTACATAAAAATATATCAAACTAAAGATTATTAGATATTTAAAATGTTGTTCAATTGACTAGCAGTTGCTTTATAAGAATTTTTTAAATTTCTCCGAGTGTGCTTTTATTGATTCGCATTCTTAATGACCAGCATTCTAGCATCTGCCTCATCAAGCCATTCTTCGATATAAATGGCTTAAAAACAAATTGATTTGTCCATCGGCGAAAGACCAAAACAAGGCGAGCAGTCTCAAATATATTCAGAAATATTTTAGTAAATATTTTCTTTTTGTCGTTGTTGTTTTTAGCCTTTTGGCCATTGACTCTGTGTGGCAGTAAACTTGGTTATTTAACGAGCCGCAATTATAATTTTTACAGGGTGTTTGGGGGGCATAAGGAAATTGGTTGTAAATGTGATTTTATAACTCATAAATTTATTAATAATATATTGATTTTTTTTTATTTCATTTCAATAAGCAGTTGTCAGCCGAAAATCAAAAAAAATGAAAACCAAATTGGCGAAGAGTTAATAAAACCATACGGTGACTGGTTATTCGATGAGTAAGCCCTCGATTAGTCGTTAATGCGGTTAATTAGAAGTTTCTGTGAGCCAGAAAATGGTTTCTCTTTAACACTTTGGTTGGCAATGTATACAAATTTAAAATAACATTAACCATTAATTTATAATATACAATTCATTTAAGTCAAAGAACAATGTTTGTTTAGAAATTCCTGAGCAAAACATATAAAGTATATTTTAAAGTGCGATTTTTGTGTGTCATTAATTGAATAACGATGTCATTAGTTGAATAAAGGTGGCCTAAAATTATTAATTATTTAATCAACATTTTTTTTATATTTTTGACAAATTTTAAATATTTGATGGCTTTTTGTTCTAGATTTCAGAAAGAAAAACTATTAATTTAAACAATAAATTTTGATTTTAAATGAAGAAATATAATATTAAAAATATGCCAGATATGGTATGTAAAAAAAAAGGAAACTATACAAGGGTTAAGCCTCCTTCGGTTAACCCCTCTCCACCAGATTTCTGCCGACGATGTAATTAGGCATGAGAGCTTGATTTTTAATTGGACCGCCGAAATCAATAATGTGCCAGGTGGAAACTGCTTGGCGTTAAATGAGCGTGCTGCACGACAAAGTTAAAATCGAGGGGGGAAAATGGCATTTACCGACTACCAAAACGGAGTAAATGCTGAGTAAGCAAAAAAGGACGAAAAAAATGGTAGGGAAAAATCAGAGAAAAAAAAAACGTCCTTGCAATAAACCAATAACCACGACCAACAACGTTTATCAAAATTGTCTGGCCATTGTCGATGGCCAAATTAAAATTTTCGAAATTTCCAGTCGGGCGACGATAAATTGAAAACCATGGCAGAAATTAAGTTGTAAATTAACCAAATTGCACAGCCCAGAAAAAAAGGGCAGCAGCCCACCAACACTGTCTGCTGTTTGCTTGTTGTTTTATTTACGTTGCGTGGTGTTTTCATTACGCAATCGAACGCAGGTCTCGACTTAAACGTTTACCCCCTTGAAAAAAACGCAACGAAAGCACTCGAATGAAGTGCAAAAAGAGGAATGTATTTAATGTAGTACATATCACCTTATGCAATCAATGTCTTGTACTTGATGCTTGGGGTTTTAGGGGCGTGACAGTGTCCAAAAAAGTCGAAGTAATAAAGTTGTCCGATGGGCAAGCACACGAAGTGTCAAAAGTCAGACAACGAAAGGGATATTTACATTTAGTAAAATGATGAAGTGCGTTGTGTATAAAAAATAGAAGAAATCCTTAAATAAACTTGAGTTGTAATTAAATGTAAAAGGAAAAAATAACAGTCACAAAATAAAGTTAAACTAAATGGCCTATTAAATAATTAAGAAGCTGTACAAGTTATTTATAATTTTTGGAGATATAATTTCAAGGAGAACATAAAAAAAAAACCTTCTATAAAATAATACAAAATTAATATTTTATTCACATAAACATCACAAAAAACAAAAACAATACCAAGTCACCAAAAAGAAGCTTAAATGTTTTTCATACATTATTTTTCTTCCGTTTGCCAAATTAAACAATTCGATTTTTTGGGTACTCTATTAATATGGCGCCCGACAAAAATGAGTAATCAAATTTATAGATAAACGAACAATTCAGAAGCCCACACAAAAGAAGAACCCGACGAATGGGCGACATAAATAAATCACAAATAATGATATCGATACGCATAATAATAACAATCATCATCATCATCATCATCATCATCATCATCATCATCATCAATATTTTTGTACAAGTCACGATTCTGTAAGCGGCATGACAAATTGATCATCCGGCACCCCTTTTGTCCCTCGTCTTCCCCAAAAATGTGTTAAGACGCCTTTTTGGAGGTCGCCCGCAAAACATTCAACTGATTTGCAAACTGGAACTGTCGAATGTAAATCGGTTTATAAAACCAATTTTTTTTTTGTTCTAGCATTTCTCCGTCTTAATTGCCATCCGAAAGAACACTAATTGGTTGCGGGAGCGGTTGGTTTTTGGAATTGGCACAAAGAAATAAATCTATAGCGATGGGCAGACTATTTTGTATACGAAATTTGTTTACAGCGCATTTCTTGTTCTGGCTAATGGCTCCCTGATAGCCCTATTTTATGCGTTTATACATAAATAAAACATAAATTAGTTTAACACACCTGTAAGTGTCTGTCAAGTTGTGGGCGATGGAAACATGTCCATACAGGGGTGAAAAAATATTGAGTTTTGCAGTGGTTTCTGTTATTATAGTGATTAACCAAAACATACAGAAATTACTTAATCTGTAATGCTCGTTAATTTATTATAATCGTTGTATTTTCTTTTGTAAATTTTAAAAGTTTTTTTTTAATTTTTGTCAAATTTTATTATATATATAAATTTAACTTAATCATTTAATTTTCTCTCCTTTTTGATGTCTATTTATATTTGTTGCCAATTTAAATTACACTTTCCTTTTGTTTGCTAAAATATTGTGGTTTTTGGTCTAATATTGAAATATTTAAGCATAGTAAAAACCAAGTTTATTCAATGCATAACTAACTTTAAATGTAAAGTAATAACTTGAGAGGTTCTTTAAGGACTTCCCTACATATTTCACTCATTTATCGACATCCCTAAGTCTAATTTAATTTTCTTTTTGTGTACGACTTCACTGATAGATTGAGGTGATCACAGTTCGAAGAGTTTGGGGGTCCCATCGGGTTTATGGGGTGTCCAATTCAATGGCCCGGACTTTTCACGGATTTCAATCACGTAAGCAAACATGCAAAGCATGGAGCATCAAACATGCGTAAATTTTATAATCAAGACAGGGCTTCAATTGATCGGTGAATCGATGATCGTTGATCGTTGATCGGACCGAATCAATGCTATATAGCAAGTCGCCGTCAAGGCAAGAAAAATGTGTCATTGTGTCAATTGGATTGTCGTTGTCCAGAAATAAACCGCAAATGAATCAAACGACTTGGCAACGATTGCCGAAAACAAATGGCCCAATTAATGGCTCAGAATCGAGCAGGGGCTCAAATGCTCAAAAGACCGCCCAAATAGTTAGGCAAAATATCCAGTTTGGTTTGAGGCATCGCCGAGATATTTCCGTTTTCAAAATTTCTTTTGTTTAGCGTTGCGCTGGAAATTTATGGCCAAGTGACAGGCGTGAGAACAAGCGTGCCAATCTCTTTTTAAGTCCGACAGAAACAAAAATCTGGTAACTGAAACTGGCTGGCTGTGCATCCTTGCCACTTTTGGTATTTAAAAAGTGTTAATCGAAAGCGAAACCGGGGGTCAGTCAACGTCGTAACGACCCCGGCGAAGGTCAGTTTTGGAATGACAGCGAAGAAGGCTCGCAGAATGATCAGCTGATGGCTATCGAGATCACTTACATATTCCACTGCGCAAAAATCAGCTAAAAATGCTCTGATTTAGGGTATTGTTATAAGAATTTGTTCAAATATCAATTGCTCTTATTTTTACGAAAACAAATCAGCATAATCATAAATAGATTTAAAATTCATGTGGGAATAATTTCAAAACTAGATATAAGGATATCTTCTACTTAACATTAAAGCTGTATAAATAAATTACAGAGCTTACAATGGGAAAGATACTATATTTATTATTAATTCATTTGTAAAACTAATAATTGTTTTTGGAAAAAACAACATGAAGCAAAAAGTCCATTGAACCTAATAGGATAAAAACTTAAAAAAAATGTACAATGTAATTAAAAAAATAATATTATATATATGAATATGTTTATAAAATTAATTCGATTGTATATTCAAGAAAATATCTCTTTCTTTTAAAATAGGTTCCGCATTTTTAAGAATCGGTGTGTTTATACAAATTAATCACTTTCCTAAGCCCTAAAATTAATAAATCGTATGTGCAACTTTTAGATATCTATCGAATTGCATATAAGAAAGTACAACTAATTAAAAGGCCACCTTTTTTGGTAGAAAGTTGCAATGAAAACGAAATTGTCTTGCGCAACAATCGAAATAATTAACTTTTGCTTTCTATCGGGTGGACCCAAAACGTCGAACTCCAAAAACGGAGAGCCACCAACGTGAGGAAAATGATATTGGGCTTGTCTATATGCTATATAGGCTGGCAATACAACGAGGCGATATTTTGAGTCATTGCTCTCTTATTGTTTTGGGTTTTTGGTTTTTGATTTTTGATTTTTGTCTTTTGGTTACTCAGAGCTCATTGAAATGCACGCATAAAACTCGGGGCCCCTCATTCCACTTTTCATAGCGGGTTCTATGGCATTAACTGCACTTGGTCCCCCCTTTTGACCACTCATCCCCTTTTTGGAATGCCGATCAGGTATTTGGCCACTTTTCAGTTCATCGGCGATGGGGCATTGTGGGTTTCTCGGGATATTCGGGGCTAATTCGATTATTTGAATGACAGCTGAGCGACAAAAGGGGAAAAAAAGGAGCTCTCGACACTCAATTGTCGAACAGGTGCAATCGGAATATCGCTGGAAAGTGTCGCTGAACTCCTAATATTTTTTTCAGATACGTTTTCTGAAACGCTTTCTGTTTACTTTTATGTGGAATTATTTTTTTGTGATATAAAAAAGTATTTTGTTTACTTTTATTATTATTATTGTTATGCCCCTGAATTTTAAATGCAGCGAGTCATATAACTATAGTCTCTTTTTTATATACATATTTTTTTGATTATCATATTACTTAAATGTGTCAACCTTGTATGTGTACATTTTTGTGGAAATAAATATAACTCAAATAGATTTAATAGATTTAATTTAGAAAAATTACTTTCATTTAATCTTCTTCTTTTAATTAAAGGAAAAAACATTATATTATAAAACAACCATATATTTAAAAAAACAACGATCAAATAACTTAAGTTAAAAAAATTTACGAACTAAATAAAATTTGAAGCAAATTCATTAATATTATATTTCTGAGTTTACGAAATAAAGCACAATTATTTGGCTCCCAATATTGTTTAAAAATGTTGCAAAATATTTTTGAACTTAATTAACTTTAATTATTATTTCTTGTTACTTCTTTGATCAATTTCATTGTATTTGTCTTTTTAATTAATTTATAAATAATATGTGAACAAAATTCACAGACAAAAGCAGCCACTTAAAAATGTATTTCCACTTATTGTTGACCATAAACTTGAACTTCGAGCAAATTACCTGAATATTTTCGTGTAATTTACGCTGTACTCCGCAAAATAGTTGGCACTTAAAATTGTTCACGCACACACAAAATACAAAAGAAAACTAAAAAAAAATATGCGTTGAGGTATCGGAATGTTAATCGTTGAAGTTTTGAAATTTCTGCAAACTGGAAACAGAGATTTTAAAAATTCTCGAAAAAATCCTGCAAGCCGGCTTGCTTGAGCGTTTTGGGCGGCGGGGGCGTGGCGTTGCGTTACGTTGGTGTGCGTGCGTGTGAGTGTATTGAAGACGCGTGCTTTGCGTTTGCGCAGCGGCAACGTTCTGAGTTCGTTTGCCGCTTGACGATCGAATTTCAACGACTTTTGAGTGCGCGGTACGGCGGCAGAAGGTAAGCAGCGACGCGACAGAGACGCCAGCAGAGGCAGCAACAACAACAATAACAACAACAACAGCAGCAGCAACAACATAAAGACAAAAACAAATACACAAGACTTATACGCTTCCGAGTCCCGTCTTATTATACCACACTTTTTTCAAAGGGTATTAATGGTTTTTAATTATAAAACGCAGATAATGAGATAATTCCGATTCTGCAAAAATGTAATTCATATATCCTTGATCAGCTTAGCCAGGCATTATTGATATCGGTAGCTGTATAATCCGATTAAAATTATAACGATCTTAAATTTGAATTTCGATCTCACGACCTTAGCTTATAGACGTCTTTGGATTGGTCGAGCGGATTTTGCACGATTTCATTGATTTACAAGAAAATTAAATATGGCTTAACTATCTTCGGCTTATTACAATTTTATAAAACTAATTCAACCATAGGCCGAAAGTGTTATCAACCGGTAATACACAGGACAGAATTTTTAATACAATTACAAGTAAAAATATATATATACATATATAATATATTTGTATTAAAATCCGATTTTTATACCATATAACTGCAAGGGTATTTAAACTTCGTCTTGCCAAAGTTAACTTCCTATCTCGTTTTTATTTTAATATTGGCCACGCAGCGTCGCCGTCGACGTCGACGTTGCTGCTGCTGCTGCGCATGCGCAATGCGTTGGTGTTGCTGCGTGTTGTTGCTGCGTGTTGTTGCTGCTGTTGATGTTGCTGCTGCTTTTGATGTTGCTACTGTTGCTTAGTTGGTTATGGTTTTTATTTACTAGGACTTCATTTGTAGCTGCTGTTGATGTTGCTGCTGGCGTGGAAGCAACCTGCAACTTGCAACTGTTGCTGCTGCTGCTGCTGTGGTAAAAATGCCAGATGAAGCCTCAGCGAAGCATCTTTCTTTTCTCTCTCTCTGCCTTACAACATTTTAACCCTTTGCTTATTAATCTTTTTAATTGATACAAAAATAATAATAAGAAAATTAAAAAAAAAATAATGGTAATTTTGTTCCAATTATAAGTAATATTTATTGTAAATTATGTATAACGTTTTTAAACTAAATGTTTTTTTTTTATATGTATGTTCGAAAAAATATTTTGCCATTTGCTATAGTATTAATAGCTTAAATTCTTAATTTGTAAATTTTTATTTCATGTTTTTAATATTTTAATTTTTTTTCAAACAAATTGAATTTAATTCGCATAAGCTATGTTATTTGAAAAAATAATAATATGTTGAATATGGTAAAATTTTTCTTTTTTAATTTATTTATTCATATGTTTTTAAAGAATTCGAGTTGAAGGAATAAGTGTTGAAGGATAAGTCTGCACTACTTGAGATAATTACCCCACCGGGCCATCAGCTGATTAATTGGCTGGGTCTCAAGGGTCTAGACTTTAGAATCGAAGCTATTTCCGTGAGCCAACTCAGCGAAGCCCCCGAGCGAAAATAACCGGAATCAGGGGCGTGGTGGTCGCGGGGAGAAGGGGGGAAACCAAAGTGCAAATAAACTTGTGCTTGAGCTCTTCAATTACCATAAAATATAATACAAAAACCCCTTGAGTTTGGACATTGCTGCTCAAAAAGTACTCTGTCCCTCCATCATTTTCCATTAACAACACCCATGGACTGCGTCTCATTTATGTCACCATCTGTCCAACCAGATTTTGATTTATGTCGTCCACTCTGAGTGCTGAATATGAAATCAATAGATCGATTTCGGGCTCTTTTCGCTTGCAAATTGAAATCGTGACTTGAAGCTTTAGATAAGACACGGCCCAAATGTAATTGGTAGAACAAAAAAAAAAAAAACGTAAGAAAAAATGCCGAAATAGAATACCTTTAAAAACCCATAGCAACTTTTTCTTTGGCACGGTTCAATGAACTGCGATTTTTGAACTGCCCGCCATGATTTTCGTATAACAGTTTTGGGGGAAATTTCCAACAGCTGTTGGGTAAATTGTGTAATATTCTTGGCGAGAGTTTTTCCGGTTGCGCAGGACTGGGAGAATGTCCTAGAAAGAGAGAAAAAGAAAAGAGAAAAGCAAAGAAGCCTGGGAGAATTTACGAGTTGACAGAGAGAATGCCCCTTTTTGGCGAAACTTCTGGCAGCTGGTCGAATTTTGGGATTTAGTCCTGGCTGTGATTCCGGTTTCGTCCTTGTCTGCGGCATGACTTCTCCCCTCTCCTCCCCACCCATTCCCTCTTTCTCTTAGTTTTCCGCTCGTTTTTCCGCCCACCACCACCCACTGAACGATTAGGTAAACAACAGCGGAATGCCGTGCCCAAAATTCAATTTAAAATTTCCACCAAAACTTTAATGCGGAAAATTCCTGCTTTAATTTTTAATTCTCTTGAAATTTATCATTGGCGTTTCTTACATATATAGTGTATATATATATATATTTTTTTTTTTAGCTTTTTATATTTGTATATATATTTTTTGTACATTTATTTTTTGTGTTGCCTTAGCATTAGCATACTTAGCCTGGCCCAAGCACATTACACATACGCACCGCTGGCTCCGCACTTTCACCTCTGCCATGGGCGTAGAGGGGGAAGGGGGGGGTCGTGGGTCAGGTTAGCCAGGGCTGCCTTCATTCACTGGCAATTTACATGCTTTATTCGAGTAATTTAATTGCAAATGTCCCATTAGTGGCAAAGTGAAGAGCCAAAGGGGGTGGTTGGGTGGACTTTTGTATTGTGGGGCCGGGGTAGTCCTTGAGCGGGAGAAAGGGGGAGGTTAGATTGTAACCGTGCTTAGCTGCCCAATGTTAAGCACCGACAAGTACAGAGAACAGCAAATAAAGCTGCACATAAACTAGTTCATTGTTTTCATTTTTTGAAAATGTATTAAATTCATAATTTTTTTTTTTATTGTACTAATTTGGCATTATTTATAAAGTAAATATTTTTTGTTCTGCCACATTTTTCTTTTACTTTATTGGGACTATTTTGTTTAGAGCCTTTTTCTATTTGCATACTTTATTTAAAATGTAAATATTATTTGTGCTGCATTATTTACACTCTATTTTCTTGAAACGATTTTAAATATAGATTTATCTATTTAAAGACAAATTGACATTATTGTTTTGTTTACATTACTCAATATTCCTAATAAATGTTTATTTAAATTCAGCTTGTATTTATCTGAACAAATTTAAACCAGTGTATGCAAATGTTATTTTAGTCATTTAAATTTGATTGTATTATTTGTTTGAGGTGTTTTATTTAATTTAAAGCGGTTTGCACTGTGGCTACTGCAGATGTTTAAAAAAAGGGTAACTGAAGAGGGTCTAGAAAGTGCTTAAGCTCGGAAGTGTGGTGCCTCAAAGCGGCGTTAGATGTGGGATTTACAAGATGCATAGTTCTCGGTGCCCTTTTGACCCCTTCCCCTTCCTCTCCTCCTGCCCCCTTCCGCAATTGTTGTTGTGACATTTCTTGAGCGGTGTTGTTGGTTTTGTAAGTGTCATTAACATAGCCAAGCAACCGCAAAAAAGCGCAAAATGCATCTCTCAAAATAAGGAGAAAAAAAAGAAAAAATAGTAGAATAAATAGAAAAACAGCTAGCAGAGAAATAGATAAAAACGAACATAGACATATGCAAAGGCTCTTCAATGTCTCCTGCATTTTTCCTATGTGAGTGTGTGTGTGTGGTTTTTTTGGTGCCAGCGTGCTTGTGACAGGCCAAAACTAACAACAACAAGCTCACGAAAAAGCATAGAAACAAATGCAGAGAAAAAGAAAATAATAAATAAAACTGTCACATAAAATAAGGCAAAAGATATGAGGATGCCGTTGTGGTGTTCCTCTTTTTTCTGGGGGTGTTTGTAAGGCATTTAGCTATGCAAAAGTGCTCATCTCAGAGTCCTGCGGACATTGCCACCAAAATGTTACTTAAATAGGCCAAACAAATATATATACTGGTGTTTTATATACATATGTGCTGAAAACTCACATACACAGATATGCAGATAATAAAAGTGCTGACACTTATGAGTGAGTTTTATCGCAAACTTATTATTCTTCGAAATCAAGTGACATCCGCAAAAAACAAGTCAAACAGAATTTGATTTTTTCTTGGGTGAAGCTGGAATTTTCATGGCCATTATTCATGTTTTTCTTTTTGTGACATGGAAAGTTAAAAAAGGGTGGGTAAATATTTATGTACAATTTTAACATATTTTCGAATGCAAGCAACGTAAATGGCTAGTAATCGTTCATTAATTGCATTTTAAAATGAGTTGATACCATAAAGACAATGACATTTTTATTGGAATTATATTAAACTTATTTAGTATCAATGTCAACGATTTAAAAAACATAAATATATGTAGGGTTTTATGTTAGCTAGTGTTATTATAGTTTTTATATAAATTGTACAAAATATATTTTTTGTATTTGTAAGGAAACCACAACGTTACTATAAAAATATTGAATAAATTAACATTTTAATACAGCCAGGGCCACAACTCTCTTGCGATTTCTTTGTCGGCTGGTAATAAAAGTTTTCCCCACAAATGTCGAGGGTTCAATGCACCCTCGCCCCTTTCCATCACCCTTTTTTAATAAAACCCCATCTAAATCGAGTTCACCTACGCCCATTAAAAACGTGGCAGGGTGCCAGCTAAAATAAAATTCCCTTGTAAACCAGCCACAAATATTTACATTTTGTGTGCAAATTTATTTAAGGCCAGCCATTAAAATATTGAATTCTGATCTATCGAATGCTGCTCCAGTCTTGGCGTTGATTGCCGATCGTTAAGGGCAATTTTCGTTCCGGACCATCGTAAAACAAAACGGCGAACGATCCACAAAACTGTCATAATCTCGTTATGATCTCCATATCAAACAAAACGAGATTGGTGCCTATAAAAACTATGGCATAAAAGCGAAATCGATGAATAATTAAGATGGGATGATAG